CTAAAATTCCATTTCTTGATCTAGATCTTCAATTTTTGGAAACTTTAAAAGTTCTTCTGTTAAGCCCCGATCAATGAATCTACAAAATCCTTCAAATTGTATTTGATTCAATCCGGGTAGTGTAGACATTCCTTCATTCCCAACCCCAAGCATTTTTTATTCCCCCCCCCCCCCCCCTTTTATAGAAAATAGCCCATTATTTGTTGTCATTCTTCATCGAATCACATGAATAGAATAGATTTAGCAATAATGGAATTTCTGTTCTTTTTACTTTACTGAATCACATGAAATTTTACCGAACTACGTCTATGAAATACCGATTATGAAAAGAGGAAATTGGATACTCCAATTAGAATTTGCAACAAAACAAACAAATCGAATTGAACTTGTAATATCAATGGAAACAAATTGATCCATTTCACCTAGACTTTGGGTCGGGCTATTTTTAACAATCTAAAAAAAATGAATTATATTTGTACTATTAGTATAGTATGATATTCCATATTCCCATTCGATTGATATCCCAAAAATAAATTCAGGATTTGCTCGGCTCCATGAGAGAAAGATATCAAAAATAAAATAATCAGAAAAAAAAATACCATTTTTTAAATTTGTGTGTGTTAGTTTAGATTAATTTTATTTAGTTAATTAGGAGTTTATTTAATTAGGATTAGATTATTATTATTATCAGAATTATTTACTTTTTTTATTTATTTAGATTTTTTTTTATTTAATTAGGATGTAATTATTTAAAGTTAATTTAAATGGTTATTTTAAATTTAGTTTTAACTAGTTAGTTAGAGTCTTAATTTAGAATTGTTTATATTAATTTAAATTTGTTTTAGATTAAATTGTTCTAATTAGAGTCAGCATTATTAAACAATCATCACCATTTTCATTAATCTATTATCATTAATCAAGTTTAATTTGAATTAATCCAAAGACATCTCGCCAAGTGCCGTGTATATAAGGGTACCCCAACCACTATTCACCATCTGCTAGGTCCAACCCTAATTCCTTCAGCCTCCAAACCCTAGAACCCTAACCCTAGTTGCTACAGTACCTCATCAAGAACCCTAACCCTACCGGCCATCTTCACCTCCGAAAATCATCATCTTCATCACTCAAACTTCATCCCTCATCAAATAGCCCTCCATCTCCCTCACCATTGTTCAGATTCAACATTAACAACATTTTCCAAACTCAAACTCTTTCTTCGAAGTGAAAAAAAACTAAAACCAGTTCTCAATCTGAGTCTCCAAAATCAAAACCAGATCTAATGGATAGAGATTCCGAAGTTCCCAAAGCAAACCAACCACAACCTTACCTTCTTCGAACAATAATGACCTGAACCACACAGAACTCCACCCCATCTTCATTTCGAAACACAACCCTTCGTCTACCGTAACCCAGTCCTTCAAACTCACCGTTAACCTCCTTCTGTCCACAGTCGTGACCCACTTCCAAACTGATAACCCAAACGAAGCTTTCCGAAACTTTCACACCCTCCACCTTCTTCAACCTTCTACCGTTTTCCATTTTTAGAACAAAAATCCATAAATAAAAAATGAAGCCAAACAGAGCCAAAGAGGTTGAGAAATTCAGGTCCAAAATGTCATAAACCTGAGCTAATCAATTCATTTGGCTTAAAGGTTGGATTTGAATCATTACTTCTGTAAGTACAGAGTATGCCTAAGAGGGGGGGGGGGTGAATTAGGACTTTAGAACTTTTTCCGGTTTTTATGGTTTCTTAAAATTTTACTGGTTTGTGTTCTTGGTTATGAAAGCAGTAGAAAGTAAAAGAACAATGGACACCAGGATTTATAGTGGTTCCCCTCACAATCCGAGAGTACTCCACTCCCCTTTCAACATGAAAGAGAGTTTTCACTATTGTTTAATAAAGTACAACCTATCACACCATCAACCGGTGAGGCCTACTATCAAACAATAAAACTAACAAGTGTACAAGAACAATCCTCTTGTAAACACTAGCCCTTGTGTCCAACAATCCTGGATCACAAGTTAGAATACAAATACTTGTAATGATTTTGTTTTGAGAATAATAATATCAATCAAAATTGATCTTCTCCAAATGATCAAAATTCACTCTTATAATTTTCAACACAAGTGTTCAACAGATGAATATGAAATTTTTATGCAAATATGAACACTTAGAAAAGATTTTGAAAATGGTGAATTTGATTCTAAGAATATTTGAAAATGAATGTTGGAGGTGTTTGGAGGTATTTTGAGGTCTTTTTCAAAATTGAAAAACTCAGAATTTATATGTGTAAACACACCTTTTCCAACAGGTATATTTGAGTATAATTCAAAATATGAACTGGTATAATTTTCAAACCATTTTTGAATTTGAAACAAAGCCATTTTTCAAAATTCGTTCAGTGTTAATCGGTTAACCTATATGGTTAATTGGTTAACACTTGAACGTTATACAAAAATATTCAAAAATTGAAATGGTTAACCGGTTAACCTATATGGTTAATCGGTTAACACTGCTATTTTTCAGAAAAATGCTTTTAAAAATAAATGTTATACCAATTCTAAAGTTTCAAAAACATGCTAATGTAATATGCCAAAATGATTGATGTTTTTGAACACTTGTATATCAATTATAAGGATAGATTTTGATATACCCGCAATGCATCCAAGTCTTGAAGAATCATAGTTCCATATGCAGTTTGACTTGAAAGATAGCTTGACTTGATCTTGATTCCTTTGAAAGACTTGAATTTTTGCAACCAAGAGATGAACTTGAGTAGTGTTGACATCATCAAAACTAGAGATTGAAGCATGCTTCTACATTCTCCCCCTTTTTGATGATGGCAATCAAAAAGTGTTGTGCGATATCTTTTGGTTCTTGATATGTTTCTCCCCCTATGTCTAGCAACTCCCCCTATCTTAACAGAGGAAAGAAATCTGCACACAGAGAGACATTAACAGAACCAAGCTCTTCTCCCCCTTTGTCATCAGCAAAAAGGAAGAGCTTTCAAAGAAAACACAAGATAGCAGCCTATATAGTAGTAAGCACATGCAAAGCCAAGTAAACACAAAGCATAAAAAATAGTACATATAAAATGCAGCAAAAAGGAAATTGTACTTGTTACAATAAAACATAGTTGAAATGGAAGCATAAAACTTTAAAACCAGAAAGCAATCCAATAAAACAACAGTAGCAACATATTCTCTAAAGATCCTCATCCGCCATATCCTCCTCCTCTTCTTCCTCTTGTCCTTAATTTTCTTCATCAGATACAACAAGGTTGTCAGTGTTGGTGCGGTGAGAGGAAAGTACAAGGTTTCGGAGAGAAGCAATGGCTCAGGAGGTTTCTCTATGCTGAGTCATTATAGTTTGGTAAAGGAACTCATTTGTCATGCCTCCTTCAGGTACGGGATAGGCTTGGTTAGCATTGGCTCCTTCATCTGAATATTTGTAAGTACCGTCAGTATCCTTAAAAATTCCAGTATTCTTGACAATTGTAATCTCGTTAATCTCATTGGTGGTTGATTTCATCTTGATGGTTGGTTCACGGTTAAGATCCAAAGTAGTCAACTCCAAAATTCTTGATACCAGCCTTGCATAAGGAAGACGGGTTGAAAGAGATAATTGTTGTTGGAGGTGATACATGATGGTCAGAATCCAATTGACACGAATCTTATTCTTGATGGCGAAAAGGAGTTGCATTTCCAGATCATTAATTTGTGCATGATTCGAATCCTTGGGAATCAGCACATAACAGATTATGTAGTGAAGCATCCGATCAGAAACAGTAAGATTTTTTGCATAGCACAATAGACGAGCAGTGCGTTGGTTGGCGATAATCATCTCCTTTGGAAATCTGCAGATCTGATAGTAGAACTCCATCTTGTCGTAGTTGGACCACGGTCCTTCCACGTGGTTAACTCCCTTTCTCAGACAGTACCCAGATGATGGTATGTTCAGCATTGTAGCAACATCAGACAGATTTTCTTCCACAACACAGTCTCTAACAATTGTTTTCATAATATGCTCATTATTTGCATTTATAAACACAGACAGTTTATGCAAAAAGGATTTGACAAGATCCGGATAGCAGTTTCCAGAATCCGACACAAATTTATCGATCCTTTGATATTTGAGCAAAGCAGGAAAATCAAAAGATGATGCTGGAAAAGCCTTAAGATTCACATACTTTACCGGGAGGATGGAACGAACTCGGACTTTGAAATCCATTATGCACTTCTTGGTTGTTTCCATAGGGATATCTTCTTCATCAGATGCAGAATGATGTTCTGGTAGCTTTCCCTTGCCGCGATTTGATGCTGAAGCCATGGATGAAAGTTTGAGAGAACTGAGGTTGTGGGTTCTGAGGAAGTTAGGGTTTGAGAAGTTGTGGGGATGGTTATAAGAAGTTATCCAACTTTAGAGAGTGGGAGAGAGAAGTTAGGGTTTGAAGAGGGAAGTTCCACAAAACTCTTTAAGAGAGGATATGATTTTGGATATGGATTTGGATTCTTAAGAGAATATGGACCACATAAAAAATGCATTTATGATATATAATATTTTCAAAAATTTATTTAATTTTCGTTTCTGATTTTTAGAAAATTTAATAGTGTTAATAGGTTAACCATATAGGTTAATCGGTTAACACATTAAAAAATTGAGTCAGAATTGAAAATTTAACAGTGTTAATCGGTTAACCCATATGGTTAATTGATTAACACACTCGAATTTTTGAAAAATACTTAAAAATAGAATGCATACACATGAAAATACATCACAAATAATGCATACACATATTAGAGAAAAGGTCAAATGTCACCTTCATCAAGAATCCCAAGTTCTCGCCAAATTTTGTAGAATGGTTCTTTCGCCAAAGGTTTGGTGAAGATGTCGGCGAGTTGATTGTGCGTGTCGACGAAAGTAACATCTACATCTCCATTCAATACGTGATCTCGAAGAAAGTGATGCCGGATATCTATATGTTTTGTTCTTGAATGCATGACCGGGTTCTTTGTAATATTGATGGCACTTGTATTATCACATCTAAGAGGAATGCAGTCGAGATCTATACTGTAATCGAGGAGTTGTTGCTTGAGCCACATAATTTGTGCACAACAACTTCCTGCTGCAATATATTCCGCTTCGGCTGTAC